TGTCAGAGGGGTTCATTGTTGAGAAGATGGGCCAAGATGGGGAGGGAGAGGAAAAATAGAAGAAGAGATACAGAGGAAGAGTGAATACGTTATTTAACCATGTGAGATGGGAGGGGTATTTTAGCTCAACCTTAAGGAATGTAGAGGTTAATTAGTTAATAGCTAGATTTCAAGCAATGTTTAAAGAAGCAGAAGTGCGAGGCGAAGCTTTTACGAAGTGAGGTATAACTGTATAAGCTTTAAGGCTCAAGGCATAAGCCTCCTTAATTAATTATATTTATTTTAAATTTTATAAATATTATAAGCATACAGTATATAGTGGTGTAATAATTTACAATTAGATATATTCAGGTAATGGATGTTAAATAACAATGAAATATGCCAAGTCTCATTGCAAATCATAATAAACCAAACTACATGTATAAGACATAAATCTTATTTATGGTCACATGGCTATATTCAAGACACATAGGCTAGAGTTGCAGTTCCTTATTAAAAGATGAGCTCGACTGTTGCATTGATTCGAGACCCAGATAAAACTAAACAAGGAAATATGCACAACATAGAGGAGATATGCACCGAATGTCTATGCTTGACCCACTCAACAAGGCTGACCAATTTAATTTCGGGTTCAAGTATTTTATTTATTTATATTTTCTTCTTCGTTGATTATTTTTTAAAATATTTTTGGTAGTTCACTTCTCTTGAAAATTTAGTGGTAATCACATCTATAATTTTTGTCTACTATTTTTCAAATCACGAAAATTAGGAATGTCGAAACCTATTCTCAATTATATACATGTTTCTTAAGCAGGTTAGTGGATCTGTTAATATTGCCTTGATAGTAATCTAATGTTTATAGGGAGTGTGACGCTGACTGCTAACAGTTGTCCATATCTATACACTATACAACTTTAACATTGTTAGAGTGATTAAAGTTCTCGTACTACTGGATTCTTATAGTTTCTTTTTGAGTTTGCTCGCAAGCATTTACCGTAGTTTTGAATTTTAAAACGTTTATGTTGATTCCCAGTAACAAAGTCTGGTCTTGTTCGGTACTTGATCATCCCAGTTAATGGATGGGTAATCTTCTGTGTGCAGGACTATTTCTTAACAACATACAAGTTTCTGGAGCTCTCTCCACATGTACTGATACCAATGCATGGTAGAATCAACTTATGGCCCAAAAGGATGCTTTGTGGATACATTAAGTATGATATTACTGAGTCACTTACATCCTGCAATGCTTGTCTACAGTTTGTTTTGTGCTTCCAACAGCTAAATGTTTTTGCTAAAGATTTTGTGTGTGTCGGCAGTAACCTTGATAAACGATGGCCACTGACCATCGAAAATTTTGTACTTCCAGTTAATCACAGATTTATTGTGTTCTCTTACATATCAAACTAGCTAGACTTTGGCACTTGTCAGGTCGAAATCCATGTGTGAGCGTTAAGATTAGTTTTGTTATGAACAAATTAATATGTATTAAGCTTGACAATTGATATATTTCCTATTAACCTGGAAACAGTTTACTTTCTAGTTTCTTTAGTTGTCTATTTGACAATTTTCATAGATGGAGTTTGAATACCTCTACTGTGAAGAGTTGGATACTTGAAATAGTTTTGTTTATTTTCACTTTATGCCAAAACAAGTACTCTATCAATAAGTAGTTAATTATATATCAAAACTTTTTTTAATATGCCTCTTTTTTAACGTGCAGGAATCGCAGAGCTAGAGAATTGTCAATTTTGAAAGCCATAGAAAGTGGGGCACGAACACTATTTGATATAACTGCCAAGTCATATGCTAATGTGGACACCAACATGTGGCTTCCAGCTTCACTGAATGTGCAAATTCATGTTGATCATTTGGCTCAACGGGAGAAGTTACCTAAGGTGATACACATCGAGTTTTGTGTGCAATATATGATAAATATAATGATATATTTCCAATTGTGAGAAAATCAAGCTTAGTATTATATGGACACTCTCCATAAGGCATCAAATGCCTGCTTGCGCTTGCATCTAGGATGTATGTATAATAGGAAAAGGTCAATGAATGGGCAGCCACCTCTTCTTCATGCTATTAGTCAAAATAGTATCTTCTCCACTCCTGTTATCCTTTATCATCCTTCTAGTTTTAACTATCCTCTATCTCCACATCCACATCATAGCTGCTGTGCTCCATTGAACAGCCTGTAGTCGACTAGACAGGTGGTCTATGAAGCACGGACACGCATAACATGAAGCCGTGTCATGTCGTGTTCGTGTCGGACACACGTGTCGAACACACGTATCCTATGTATTTTTTAGGATTTGCCTCGTGTCGGCGTGTCGGATGGCCGTGTCGGATCCGTGTCCATGCTACATAGCAGGTGGTGGACGCTGCAGGAGCTTATGCAGGTGTTGAGGAGGTGAGGTATACATTTTGTTCATTTTCAAAATCATTTTTGTCGGAAAAGGTTTTGGAATATAGAAATAGAGACCCCATCATCCTAGGCCTAAATGCTCAAACATAAGCAAGTTAAGAGGATAAACTAGAAGTGGATGGAGTTCCTTCTGTTATATATTATTTCCCTTTTACTAAAGAAGTTTTCTCGTTATATATTATTTCTTTCACTGTCAAAAGTATCGGTAACCCCTAGAAATGTTTTTAACGTTTTCCAAGGTGTTACTTTGAGGGTGTTTGGGGAGGCTTATTTTATAGTCAAACTAGCTTTTAAGCTAGTTTTCATTTCTACCTGCTTAGTAAAATACAAAATAAGTTAGCTTATAAGTCACATTTTAAAAAGCTGGTATACTCCAACTTTTGAAAAACTAACTTATAAGCTCACCTCAATAAGCTAGATTTGACCAAACAAATTACTACACTACCCAAACAATTTTTGTAACATAAAAAGCCAAAAGTCACTAAAAGCTAGCATAACTTATAAGCTTCAAAAAATAAGCTTTCCCAAACACCATCTTTATCAGTAATAGC